TCCTCCTCACACTTGCCACAAACTCCGCTTTCCTCACCTAATTTCTTAACTAACTTCCCATACTCCTCACATCTAACTCGTTTGGTCTCTGGCTCAAGGATGAAATAATTTTTGACGAAATGAACTTTCGACGCAAACTTTCGACAAAGTAAACGCGACCCGTATGTTGAGTTTAATTTCTTGGCGAACTACTAATAGATAATATGAGAGAGGATATAATTAATTCATCATTAATGATTGACCACTTGCAGCAAAAACCTACTTTAATTTTGGCATCAGAAAAAAGATCCCACGAACGAATATACGCAAACTTTTAATTATATCATGAAATAAATATTAATATTCATTAAACATCTTAAATTCTAAATAACCGAATTCTCTCATTTAACCAAAACACCACCCACCACCTCGCCAGATACTGTTTCATTAGTTTTTGTGGTGATTTTTACCAATCTGATCATGCATGAATAGAATTGACGACATTTTTGATGATGATAAAAAAATTGCAGGTAATAAAATAATAAAATATTACATTTATTGTTGTCATTTGGCGCTAGTATTTATAACTTGAATCAACAATAAAGTAGATTTACAATCAGCATACACACGAGAAATCAAATTAAATGCAGCTACGATCAACCAAATTTGATTAGCTTCAATTACATAAACACCACTTTGGTATTATTAATTTATTGCAATTTACCAAATTGAGTTAATATTAACCCAATATTCAAGTTTTTATCATACACATACATGAAACACGTGCACAAATGAGCAAAAGAACGAAAATTCGAAAAATATAATATGTTTAGTTTTTTTGATTTTTTTTTGTGCACAATTTAAATTAAAAATACAAATATAATAATAATTTTTTTTTTTTAATTCAAGAGTACACACTGACAAGACTAGTTTTTGTGCTAGATATAAAAAGACATTTTTTACTAATTAGTTAACAATCTAAACCAATCAATTATTTACGATTAAAAAACTTGCTACAGTAATCTAAACCATCTGCATTAGTATTAGGTAAAATCAAAATGTTATACCAAAAAAATTAAAAGTGACGGTTTTGCTATGTTGCTTCATGATAATCAAAGGCTGTTTTTCTCTTTTCTTTCTGAAATTTTCAAATCAAATTAATTTATATTGACCCTCCTTATAATCCGGATAGTAAATCAAATACTTTTGTTTACAATAATGGTTTTAATGAGTCTACTTGGTTAACTTTTATGAAAAATCGGTCAAATAATAAAAATTAAATCCTGAATTTTTCTTAGTTCTAAACTAAACAAATTCTACAAATTCGTAAAATTTGTAACAATTTTACTTTATACTTTATACTTTATATACAGTATAAACGAAATAAACATACTATGAAGAATAATTTTTTTAACCTTTTGATTTCTAAAGAAAATTCATTATAAATTTAATAATATAATGATAGTATGATTATGAATGAATGCAATATTAAAAACTCACTTTAGTGGAAGTGAAATTATATGCTCAAACCAAGTCCCATTTTTGAAAATACTTTTGTCTATTGAGGTACTGTTTGTTGTAGAAGGAATTTCATTTAAAATGCCTGATATATAAACAATCTTATTTGTTGGTCCAACTTCTATGATCACATCTTCTGGATTTTTACTGTGGGAACATTTGCTATAATGATATATTCATCTCTATTTCAAAATAAAAAAATAATTTAATTTTTTATAAAATTTATGTAGAGAATGTTACTTGGGTTTATATAATAATACTAATAATACCCATGATCAAAAAACACCATGATTTTTATCATCCTCAAAATTATTTTATTGTCATTACTGTTACTGCCACTATTATTGTCATCAATATTGCTATTATCATTGTTATAAATGATTTTAGACTGAAGTTTAAATAGAATTATCAATTTTATCATTTGCTTTTTGTAAAATTACAAATCTTATTTTTCAATTATTATTATTAATAGATTTTTTTCTCTGTCTTGCTGAATATCCTTTCTAGGAAAACAGATTTTTAGATGCGTATATAAAATAAATAAATTTTTTTAAATTATAATAACTTATAATCAATTTGTTTATCTTTCACAAAACTTATTAATATTATATTTACCATAAAATAAAAAAACTACAATCAATAATAAATTATTTATTTTCCACTTCCAATTTCTCCTCAAATAATGATATTATTATTATTAATAAGTGGTGCAAATAAAATATTAAAAATATTAATTGATTTTATATTCTCAAAGAAAAAACAAAATTGATAATAAATATTAACTATTATGTTTACAATTATTTTTATCTTTGTTATCAGCATTGATGTTATCATCACCAATCAATGAAACTACTACTACTACTACATTGATTAACAATGGAAAATACTTTAACAAAATTAAAATCATTATAATTATTATTAAATTTTTTTAAAAAAAAGTGAATACTGATACCCATAAGTATAATTTGATTGTAAAACAAATTTTAAATAATCCTATTTATATTTAATATTAACAATTACTACACATTAATATTGTTTCATTCCTCCTTCCATATTATTAATAGATTGTCATGCTTCATTATTTTCAGATTCTATATTTAATAATAATAAAATTTGATTTAATTTATTAATTTATTAATTTATGATAATTAATAATATTAAATCCAATATATTAAAATATTTTTGTAACCTTTTGAGTAGAAACTCCAATTAAATATTGTGTTTTCATATTGTCTAATAATTATCAATATAAGCAAAAGCTAAACTATTGGTAAAACAATAATGCAAAAAAAATTGTTGGAAAGTTCCTAATAACTTAATAAAAAGATTTTTTGGTTTTAATCCTCCAAAGAAACTCACAACCCATATATTCTCTGAAAACTCTCAATGTATTTTAATTTAATCATTACATTCCTAAATATATATAATAAATATTAATTAAAAACATAAAAATAGATACAAAAGTAAATATTGTATATAGAAAAAAACATATTGATATTACCATTACTCTTCAATATACACAATTGTTTTTTTGTGAATCTCCCTAAAACTTATTAACCAACACTTTGTAAAATATACTTTATCGATTATTCAATAGGTGGGATTGATGCTTATTTGATGTAAAAATGAAAATGCCATGTTAATATAAGTATTTAATAGATTTTTCAAAATTCAATAGTTCTTTGCCTATTACTATTACCATATATTTTTGTATCTCACTAAGTACTTGATCAAATCGAGTGATCTTAGATTCAAAAGAATTCTATTTTCAAAAATTATTTATAGCAATGTTATTAATATTGATTTTAAATCACAATTCGTTGACACATTTTGATAATCTAATTATTCTTTCTAATTGTTATTATTCATGTAGGAATAAATGTAAAAGAAAAATTTTAATTATTGTTAAAATAAAACCAAGTATTCATAATAGTGTAATTACTTGGACATATATTTCTACTTTTGCTTGCAATTGGATGCACTAAACAAATTTCTACATATGTGAATATAAAGGCAAAATTTGACTTTGAGGATCAGATTATTTTTGGTTTTATTAACAAATTTTCCTTAAAGCAGATACATATAATAAAGAGGCTATTTGGTGGTGGTTGCTACACAGTGAGGGAGGGTATCAAGCAAGGATGTAAGACATTTGATTATAAAATTTTTTTACTATGTAAATTTGAATTTTACTATCATCTACTATTACTATAGATCTGCAGTAAGGTTGCTTGCCAAAACTCCTCCAGAAATCAAACAGCAGGGTTTCGGCAGGTTACACATTAATTGTTTATTAGAGTTCGGCAGAGTTTCGTATTTTGAGGTTTTGCCATTTTGGCATAGTTTCAACAGGATTTATTATATTAAAAACTATGTGTTCACGTGCCCTAAGATTTAGAATGGCGCGCACGTAACGTTTAGGCTGCCACGCATAAATAATGTTTTTTGAATTGTTCAATAACGCGAACGTGTGTCACAATCTATCTATTATTGTATCGATGGGTTACGTTTAGACTATATATCACAAGCACGCAAATAAATATGTTGTGATGTGTAGCGTTTTAGACCACCACATGTAAATGATTTTTTGTTATTTTTTTAAATCTATACATATTTATAATAAATGCAACCAAACTTATTAATGCTATGAATTTACGGTATTAAATAATTTTGAAAAAAAAAAAAATTACAAGATTATTTATAGTGTGCTCTAGATGTAAACCGTCAGCGAAGCTGACGGGTTACACCTAGTTTTTGATAAGATTTAATATAGTTTTGCTGTGGTTTCAGCAATTACTAAGGAGGTTTCACCCACAACCTTAGTCATGTGCATTATGCGCATAATAGATATAGATAAATCTGTGTTACGTACCAAATTTTTTTTAAATTCTGTATTACATGGTATCAGTGTTGTGCCATTTATGGTTCCAATAAAATTTCATTGGAACATTTCAACAAATCCCAATTGGAATTGGAATGTTCCAAATGTGGTTCCAATGCAGTTAACCGATGAAATTCAATTACAGTGACACCCACACAATTTTTATTGGTCAATATCAATTGAAAGTCTACATTGTAACCACATTGGAACATTCCAATAGTGTTACAATGTTCCAATTGCACAACACTGCATGATATAGATAATAAATAAAATAAAAATTTGAATGCCTCAAGCTAATCCCATTTGGACTCAATTCAATAAACTTAGTCAAGTATCAGGCTTTCAGCAACCTCATGCACAATGCAAATATTGTAACTATGAAATAGATGCTTGCTTATATTCATGATAAGGAACAAAAGCGATTAACACAGGTCATGTCCTAAAATTGGTATGTATTTATAGTAATTACAAATTGCAAACATCATGAGAGATATCAATGTGGAAAAGATTTTTAAATGAGTCAGAAGAATTGGATAAAAATTTATTGGATGGGGATAATATTGAATTTATAGAAAATGAAGAAAGTGGATATTTTAGTAACAGTAGTAGTAGTGAAAATGAAGAAGGAAATGAAGGATCTGATGATTTTTTATGATTCTGATGTAACTTACTAAGTTAGTAAAATAATAAATTTTTACAATAAAATTTTGTATTCTAATCACAACAATAAGCATATATTTTATTACATCTAAGCTAAAATCATGAAGAAAATTTTATGGTGGATGTTTTTTAAAAATCATTAATAATTTATTATGCGCATAATGCATGATGCGCACTAGTGTATAAAATTCAATGCCCGCAATGCCCAAGTGCAACGTCATACATTAGTAATTCCTGCAGATAGTTTCTAAATTTGTAAATTAGCTTCTAAATTTGTACTAGTTACAGACCGAAATTTATACACTGATGCGCACAATAAACTAAGGATTTCGCATTTAAGCGAGTTCCTTCAAACAAGAATTTTCTATAACAAAATAGTAACTCATATAATATTTAAAAAACTCCCTGTTTGATAACGATCTGCAAATTCATATCAATATAAATTTGTCATAAATTCTGCTTTCATTTATTGGTCTTGTTCAATGATTAATTAAAAAACAAAAAACCTAAAATAAAAATAATAAAATTTTAAATATTAACCAATTGAACCAATCGACTGATTAATTAAACTTCGAATTATCTAATTGAAAAACAAACAAGAAGATACGGATAAACATCAAACTGACACTAGTGGTAATTGGGTCAATTCTCCAACAAGAATTATCAGTGAAGCATTTGTTACTATGGACAAAAAAAACGTAAATGAAGGCCTAACAACTGCTTGTTTTAATATTCCACAAACGATCAGTGAAGCGATTGATATAATGGATAAAATATATGAAAGCGATGAAAATGAAAGATCTTATATAACAACCGCTTGTTCTCGTTGTAAGAAACGTCACATAAAATGCGACGACCAAAGCCCTTCATGTCAAAACTGTAAAGAAAAGGGTCATGAGTGTATTCGTATTCCACAGAAACTTTCGCGTGGCCGTCCCCAAGGTACGCTTAATGGACAGGGGAAATCCCTCAAAAAAAATACAAATAATGGAGCTAAGAAAACTAGAAAACCTAGGATAAAACGATTGAACAAATCTAACGATGTCAAAGATATCATAAAAGAATTACTCAATCATGAAGGTGTTGATGTTGACGGAAATGATAATAATGATCCATTAGATTTTTATAATGAATTGACATCCTACTCATCTTTTCAAAGTACATCGCCAACACCTTCATATTCGTTCACATCTTCGCATGATACTTACGACATTAACAATAACAATACTGTATATAGAAGTAGCAACTTGACTGATTCACCAATTCAAACGCCGTTTAGCTTTTTTGACACCTCCAAACGATACAATGCACACCAACTTCAAATTCCAATTCCATCTGAAAAGATTAGTGATTTTGTGCTTGGTCCTAATGCGTTAACCACAAATGTTGATCTTGATATAGCTAATTACAACTATGACGGTGAAGTGGATCCAATACAATTCCGTCATTTGTTAATGCACGGTTCGTTAGATTCATACAATAGTTCTACACCAATGAATGAACAATATGTGGATTACTTGAAAACAGCATCTATCTCAAATACAAATGTAGCAAATGTTGGTAATTACCAACTCGATGCTCCTCCTATTGATGTATCTCAAGTTGTACAACCATTTATTGGAGAGCAGGGTCCTCCTTATTATAATCATCATCATCATCAACAATAAAAAAACTAAGAAATCACTTTTAAAAAATTTTATTTCTTTTTTTTATTTTATTCAAAAAAAAAAACCTTTACATATATATTATCACATAAAAAGCATTGTAAATTTTATTCACTTATCCTCTTAATTCATAAAATCCTTTTTCTTCTTATCTATGCAATAGTGCTACTTTATGATTATTTTTTTTAATAACATTCAGTTAATTTATATTTTGAGTGCTAATAAAAAAAAGCTTAATTATAATCAATTTTGAGATATCTCTTGCCTGTATACATCAACTCTAACACTAATGCAGCCCTTCATTATCTAATTTAGAATGAAGTTATGTAGAAAATTTTTTCTTTGATTTAAATTTACATCATTTCTCAGATAAGTAGAAAAAGTGTCAATTCCAAATACACTTTTTTCAATAAAACAGTAAGTAAATTGTTGTTGTTATGACAACTGTTGACATTACTTGGATTTACGGAAATGCTACTTTTATTTTTATTTTGTGATTGTATTTTGTTGGCTTGCAAACCTTCAATTTCTGGATTCAAAGGACTAGAAATATCTTTACATAAATCATGACCATTTGTTAACGTTGTTAATACCACAATTTTCTGTTTCATTTTCCTATTAATTAAAGAAATAAATAATTATTTGAAACAAAGAAAGAATATAAAAAATGATTATTTTACCTTTGGTTTGTAGTTGCTACCATGTTTACAACCTCCTTTGCATATTTTGTTCGTTCCAATACACCTATTGCAAAAATCAGAGTCCTCTTTCATTTCGCGCCTTAGACGCGCTTTACGAGACAAATTTTACGCTTGTTCGCACCATGTGTTGGCGACATCGAATCGGATTAGCTTGCTTATCTTTTGCGGTTGTGAATTTGTTGGATATGTGTGTATCTGGACATTTGTGATTTGGTAATTGTGAACTTTGTCCAAATTGTTGTGAATATGATATTTGATTAAAATTCAATAGCTGTAGGTATATATAATGAGGTTCGACTAATTGACTGTATTGAGCTAATAGTTTAATTTGGTGCTATTGCTGATGCTGATGATCGGGGGCGGATCCATTTTTTAAAAATAACCGAATATAAAAAAAATCGAATAAAATTATTTCTATAAGAAGAAATTTTAACAAAGATATTATATCCAAATGAATTAAATTAATTACTAAAATATTTGTTAATAATATTACTTTGTAACTTTCTAGAATTTCATTACAGATACTTACATAAATATAAATATCGTCAATGAGTAAAAATAGATAGAATCAAATCATAGAATCCAAAGCAAAGCAAAAATGTTTATTTGGAAAACCAAGAATTTCCAAATTATTCAATAAAATCTAATAATAAATCAGAATAAATGGGAATTCTTATGTAGGCGATTTGTGTGATAATAATATTGAATATGCCAATAGTAAACTTGTATTACTAAAAATCCTTTTTAGGAAACTCGATTTTGATAAGCGAGTTCCTTTTAACAAGAAATTGTATAACTCATCTAGAGGAAGATAATATTTAAAAAAACTCCCTGTTTGACCAATATAAATTCGTCATAAATTCATTTATTTGATGCGTCTCGTTCAATGATTAATTAAAAAACAAAAAACCTTAAAATAAAAATAATAAAATTTTAAATAATAACCAATTGAACCAATCGACTGATTAATTAAACTTCGAATTATCTAATTAAAAAACAAACAAGAAGATACAGATAAACATTAAACTGATACTAGTGGCAATTGGGTCAATTCTCCAACAAGAATCATCAGTGAAGCGTTTGTTACTATGGACACAAAAAATGTAAATGAAGGCCTAAAAACTTATTGTCTTGGTATTCCACAAACGATCAGTAAAGTGATTGATATAATGAATGATATATATGAAAGCGATGAAAATGAAAGATCTTGTGTAACAACTGCTTGTTCTCGTTGTAAGAAACGTCACCTAAAATGTGACAACCAAAAGCCTTCATGTCAAAACTATGAAGAAAATGGTCGTATTCAACCTAAAATTTCACGTGGCCGTCCCTGATGTTCGCTTAATGGAAAGGGGAAATCCCCCAAAAAAGTACAAACAATGGATTTGAGAAGAAAACTAGAAAACCTAGGATAAAACGATTGAGCAAATTTGGCGATACCATGAAAGAAGAATCAACTAAACTACAACTTCAATTCAGCCCAATTCCCACCTGAAAACATTGTGCTTGATTCGAATGCATTATGAAGGTGAAGTGGATCCAATACAAATCCATAATATGTTAATTAGCAGTCTGTTAGATACATTTGATAGTTCTACACTAACGAATAAACAATATGTGGATTACTCGAAAACACAGCACCATTTCAAATATAGCAAACGTTGGTAATTTCCAATTTAATTATCTTCCCATTGATATATCTCAAATTGAACAAACATTTATTGGAAATAATGGAGAGCAAGGTTCTCCTTATATATTATTATTATTATTATTATCATATTCAACTAGTGATGTTAGCCGGCTAAGAAATTTTTAAACGGCTTAGCCGGCTTGAGCCAATCAAATTCTATTCTCAAAAATAATAAAAAATATTCATTCATTCGTAATGCCGCCAAAAAAGAAAAAGAGAACTAATCCACAAAATAAGCAATTAATTAGTTCCAACACTCGTAGCAAAGCAAATTCTT